ATTGTTGTTTGGCGGGCCCGGGCTGGGGATTCGAACCCGCCACCTTAGGTGTACGTGGCTGGCGCCTTAGCAGCTTGAGCCACAGGCGCCGAGCCCACATTATCTACACTTAAGAGACTTTTAATTTCCTCATGTTGTGGTGACCCCCAACCATAAAATGATTTTCATTGCTACTTTATAACTGCAATTTTTCTACTATTATAAATCGTAATGTAAATATCTGATATGCAGGATGTATTTAGGCAACCCCTGTGAAAGGGGTGTTCAACCCCTCGAAAGGGGTCGCAACCCACAGGTTGAGAACTGCTGCTTTGATATATATAAGACACCACGTGATTATAAGATGGCTGAGCCAACATCACATTTACCAAAGGCTGAGGCCAGATGAGTCAACTTTCCTTTAAGGAGATTTCCTGGAAACCCACCCACTCATAATTCCTTACATGTTGTTGGTGGGAACTTAATCATCCCACCACGCTCACCAGAAGAGAGGCTGGGAAGTAGGATTTTAAAGCTGGTTACTTATGCTTTAAAGAAATTAATGTTCTGTTAGTAAAAAGAGAGAGAAGAATGGACATGGGGAAGGCAGCCAACAGTTTCCACCACAGTATGTTTCCATTACTATTTTCTAGATGGTTTCCATTTGGGGTTTTGATTTCTTTTTTGACACTCAAGAGTTATTTTTGAGAAAATGTGTTCCTATCCAGTATTTTGTTGTGGTGGTGGTGTTGTCTTGGCCTGGAGAGTTTTTATTTCTAAATATGGTTAATTTCCACCTCTAATGTGGTCAGGAAATGAAGTTCTCTACTATTTTCTTCCTTTTCTTTTTTTTGAGACAGAGTCTTAAGCTGTCGCCCTGGGTAGAGTGCCATGGTGACATTAGAGTTCACAGCAACCTTGGGCTCAAGCGATTCCCTTGCCTCAGTTTTTTGTATTTTTAGTAGAGATGGGGTCTCACTGTGGCTCAGGCTGGTCTCAAACTGGTGAGCTCAAGTAATCCACCAGCCTAGGCCTCCCAGAGTGCTAGGATTACAGGCGTGAGCCACCATGCCTGACCTATTTCTTCCTTTTTAAATTTGTGGAGGTTTCCTCTGTGGGCAAATATCTGGACAATTTTTGGCAATGCCTCATGGGTACTGAGTGTAGTTTTCACTTTAAGATGTAACATTCAAAATCTGATCCATTAGTACAAATTTAATAATTATTTAGTACAGCTATAGCACATCCTTACTTTGTCCCTCATTGATTTGTCTTGGGGTTTCCTGGATTCATTCTGTCTTCTACCACTAGTATGGTGCTGTCAGTTTTGCTTAGTGATTTTTCTTTTAAATGTAAAACATATACCACCTCCCATTTTACAGACAGGAACAACTGGGAGAGGTACATTCATTCACCTGCAGTATTTGCCATCTCACCAATTCCAACTATCTCATTAGGTCAACTTTGATTTTCAGAGTTATACTAATAATTTTAAATAATTGAATTCTTAATCAGAATAAAACAAGATATAATATAACAAGAAAATCTATACTCTGAGCCAGCTTCCTCCCCTAGTCTCAAACACATTCACCAGGGAAAATCACCTGCAAATTTTTTATGTTTTTTCAAGTACTTCCCTCCATCTTGCTAAATAATATTTCTAGCTGTGATTTCTTATCAATTTTATATGTAGTAGATTTCACACGCTATACATATAAATTTCTCATGTTGCCCGACTTCCAAGAGTAAAATCAAGAACCAATTGTTCACAGCAGTGGTTCTCAACCTTCCTAATGCTGCAATTATTTTCATTGTTAAAAAGGGGTCGCAGCCCACAGGTTGAGAACCACTGGTTTACAAGCCTGGCTGATGGCCTCCTGGCACAGGGCAGGAGAAAGGCCTCTAGAGGCCCCACCTATCATGAATGTCCATCTTTCCAGTTATCCACCTGTGCCTTCAACACCTTTCCAGTTCCTTTTCTCCAAAGAACAGCCCTCTAGGCTGCTGCTGGGGTCAGGGAGAGGGGCAGGGCCAGGGTGTAGAAAAGAATGGGGACGTCTAGTTACTCCAGGTCTCCAAGCTCTTAAACAACGCCCTAGGTTCTGGTCCATGTCCCAAGCCTTCTCCTGTAACACATGCCCTCATGCCTCGGTTCTATGCCGCAGAGAACTGAGGTGGGTGTCCTCTCTCC